AGGCTTGCTTGCTTGTTGTGCGAATGTTATCAATGCTTCATTATCGGATTTGAAGATTACGTGCTCCAGCCCCTAATCAACTATTGACTGTATGGCCTTAAGTAGTGCAGTAGCTTCAGCCATTAGAAGAGATAGAGCCAAGCATAACCATGTTCTTCCTACAATAATCTCCCCATTGGAATCTCTACCAACCATGGCTAATGCTGCCCATCCAAAGTTATACAAAAAAGAGGCATCAACGTTAATTTTTAGAGAACTTGGTGGAGGATGAGTCCAATGAGAAGTAACTTGTTTTCTTTTCATCGTGCATTCTAGAAGAGTAAGCAGGTCTCTTCGTAGTCTGAAGCTGTTGGGAATTTCGAACACCACAATCCCACACAAACGAAAGCGATAAAGAAATTGAGACAATAATTTAACGTGGTTCGACTTATATACCTCTCAACAAGTCTACGTCCACGAGAAAGAGAGAAATAAATCCACTATTAAGAAAAAGAGTATAATAATTTGGAAGTTCTCTTATTTAAGAAGCTCTCAACCCCTAGCTTCAATCTATAGAAGCTCCCAAATTCTCCCTAATACTCTCTCTTAATCTACACAAGGATTTCTCACAATTTCTCTCTTTCTTTTCTCTCACAAGAGCTCTCCCTCAATTTCTCTTGCTTTCTCCTACTCTTGCTTGTCCATTGCCTTTGCATGCATGGGTATTTATAGTGAAAAATCCAACTACCCATGCACCATTTTTCTTTGCCTCATAACCACCCGGCCAAGATTTTCTTTGCCCATTAAATGGGTCAACATGCAATATTTGAAAGATTTCAACAAATCAATCTAGCCCACAATTGGCTTATAGGCCGGTGAAGCAAACTTCCACATGGAAAGTCCATGTGTTCACATGCATTGGATTGGACTTTCTTCCAACAGAAGCAATATTCTTGAAACATTCCATGAGCCTGATTAATAATATGTTCAAGATTAAAATCACTATGCTTAAAGTAAATCTTATTCCTTACCTTCCAAATATTCCAACAAATTATTGCCCATTGTTCAATCAAGTATGAAGTACCCATTTGTTTTTCAATGTCAGTTAGAAATCTCCACCATTCC